AGGTAGCAATCACAATTTTTTTCACAGATGAATATAGCAAAAACTGAAAGCAAAATATCTGCGTTTAACCGCAGATTGACCAGAATGGGCTGGGAGGCGAAAAAGACTAATAATGAGGTGTATCAGATTCTCCACACAAGAAAAACCCTGCTTAACAAAATGAAAAGTAGAGGAATACGATGAAAATGAAATGGTATGGGTTTAACGCCCTTATCAACGCTATTAGGTTATTTAAGAGGCGGGGTCTCCTTGTTAAACGTCCGGCTCCGAAAGAACTGAGCCAAATGGGTAATTTGTGTAATCTTTCCCAAGGACACAACGTCGGACCGAGCTGAGGCTCGAACCCCTAAACCCGCAATCTCACGATTACGAGTCCGGTAGCCTAACCACTAGGCACAGGAATCCTGTGTGTTGGTCATATAAAACGCTTCCGGACTATTATGAAGGAGACACTCAAAGGCAAGATATGGGACACAAGGGCCAAGGATGAAAAAGAAGAACGTGGACCGATAACATCAAGACATGGACTGATCCCAATAAGACTGAGTTGACTGTGTGTATCACGACGAGCGACTGTAAGTAGTGGTGATTCATTGCACGTCAACCTCTAACCCAGCAATGTCACCTTCAGGTAATGTCAAGCATTTAGTTAACTGAAACAATAGCTGTTTTTCACCCCTATCGACCTAATTTAGATCTTTTAGGAGGCGGGCTACTTCAAGCCTGTCTGCCTGAGCCAATCGAGGCTGAGAGAGACACGATACCTCCGCCAATTCAGAATAGAGCTTTTAACATAATAATCAGGATTGGCATTCCAGGGTAGTCAAACAACCACATCAATATAGATAGTATAGAGATGATTTGCTCTCGGCACTGCCGTTAGCCTGCATGTGAGACCTTGACCTTCTCCTGGAGTACTGAGCTTAGTTTTTGGGGTTTTTTTTTGGTTTTTTTGTGGGGAAACGGAAGGGGGTGGGTGGGGGTGCGGGGAGTGATGGTGGCGGTGGTGGTGGTGATGAAATAGACAGCTTCACGCATTATTTAATCTGATTATTTAAGAGCAGTTCTCGTAGCTGTTTTAAGGAGGAGGAGACGGTGAAGAACGAGG